AAGTACTGCAGGGGCACCAAGGGAATCACCAGCTTAAGGGGTTGGAGTTGGGGGAACAGACAGTTAACTGTCACCCCAGGTGACCTAGATGGGGCTCCTAGATGGGGCAAGGGCTAAGGCCTGGGGAAGGCGAGGACCTGCCCAGAGCCACTAGACAGGCCCCCCGCAGGCCACAGCTGCTGAACTGGGCCGTGCCCGGGCCTGATGCTGGCTCTGCTACCAACTCCGAGTAACCTGGGCCAGTGGCCACCTCGCCAAGCTCTGGTCACTGGGGGTAAAGCAGGTGTGTGGAGAGGATTCAACCCAGAGCAGGACCTTGGCTGCAACTCAGTGCTTGCAATGGCCTGCGAGGAGCCGGAGCTGGGAGAGGCCCAGCAGCGCATCCAGTCGAGCGCTGGGGCAGCCTCCTCGGAGGCGAGAAAGGACTGGTATGCTCTGTTTTAACCAGGTGAGGTTTCCTCACCGTCCAACCTGAGGACTGGCCAAGACTGTGAAATGGGGCGGGTGTCTGTGCCACGCAGCCTCTGCCTCCCCACCTGCCCTGCCCCCTTCTCCAGGCTGCGATACACACAGACCTGGGTTCTGGTCAGGGAGCCAGAGAGCCCGGGTCCCCCCACTCACCGTTACTGTGATTTCCTGTTTGGAGGGAGGCGGGGGGCTGCAGGTTGCTGCCCAAGGCCCCGTAACCGCGGTAACTGTAGTTGAGGCCGCCGTTGACATACACGGGGTCCTGGGAGTAGGAGGAGGCTGGCAGTGAGTAGGTGGAGTGGGTGATGGCTGCAGAGTCCCGGGAGTGCTGCTTGTCCAGGGCAATGGGCTCATCCTGCAGAGTGGGAACCGAAGGGTGCTTTGAGCTACGGGCCTCTGCTCATCTCTCTGGGGGGCAGATTCGATCCGTTCCTGCCTGGCCCAAAAACCCTCTCAGAGGCCGGGCTCCCGAGGTCTGTGAGGCCTGTGTGACCAGGCCCTCTGACTTTCCCCATCTGCCCCACTGCAGCTCCGTCTGAGTCCCAGGACGGCCTTTCCCTCTCTCCCTGTCCCCAGCTGTCTCCAGCATGACTGACGGTCACCCTCTCACCCCTGCCACGCCAGGAACAACGCCCGGGCAGCTGTGGGTAAGCAGGTACCTGGGAGGACTGGTAGATCTCCAGGCGCATCCTTTTGGCTGCTTTTCTCGTCTCGCTCTCGCAGGCTGCCGCCAGGATGTTTTCTGCCATGGCCGAGGTCAGGTGGGGAGGTGTGGGTCTCGTCTGCAGGCAGAACGGGGATGGGGCCGGTGCTGGGGCTTACCGAGACCCTGCCCTGGAGGTGGCTGGGACAGGGCTGCTGTGTGCGCCCCAGGACCGTGATCTATGGAACCGCGTAATCTTTCTGGGCCTCAGCTTCCCTCCTCTGAGAATCAGGGATCGTGGTTCCTGCTCCCAGGGGCATTGGGAGGGTCAAGGGGAAGTGTCTGGCCAGGGGGGCCACCCAGGAGTCCCCAGGGGGGTGGCGCAGAGGGAGCAGGTGGACCGGGGACGAGGGGCTCACCATCTCCATGCCGTTCTTCTTCATGCGCCGGCAGGACTTGAGGTATGTGCGGATGCGCTTGCGGGCCCGCTCCTGGAACTCGGGAAACTGCCGGCTGCAGGACTCAATGATGGCCTGGATCTTCTCCTTGGGCTGCTTGGAGATGGGCACCATGCGGTCCAGGTTCTCGTCCACAAAGAGACGCACAAACATCTGTGGGAGACACCGGCTGTAGGAAGGGCCGCCGCGGCTGTGACCCCGGCCCCCACCCCGCCCATCCCTCACGGCGCTCACATTGAAGGCCTTGAGGCGCTCAGGGTCCATGCCCTCAGAGTCGTTCATCTTATCGTTGTCCTCGTGGTCATCGTGGTCGTCATCGTCGTCGTCCGCCGTGGGGGCCCGGCCCACCGTCAGGTCCTCAGGGCAGCCACTGACCTCGGTCTTGATGGAATCGTAGCTCCCGGAGCTGTAAGGGGGCGACTGAGAGAGGGCAGGGGCCGGAGGGTCAGACCAGGCCCGCTCGTGGTCTCTGACAGCCACAGAGAGCTCGGGCACTGGGATGGTGAGCGCACCTAACCGCCACGCTAGCCACAGTTTCGAGGTCCTGTGTCACTTCCCCTCTCCACTCCCTTCCTCCGCGAATGGAGATGCCCAGGGGCAGCAGCAGGCAGGGCAGCAGAGGTCTGGGCCCGTGTGAGTGAGTGCTCTACTTGGCGGCAGCGCCCACAGCACGACCCGCCGCGTCGTGTGAGGGACGGGCACTCGTGGGAAGGGTTCCCAGCCTCTTCTCTTCTGCCAAGACTGGCTCTGGTTTTGGGGTTTTCCTCCCCGATCCCCAAGGAGCCGCAGCCCGAGCCGGCAACCGAGCTGTCACACAGGCAGCGAGTAAGCGCCGTCTGTCAGGGAGGAGGAACAGACGGGCTGGGAGAGGGAACCAGCCAAGGCGACAGGTCCATCAGGCAAAGCGCATTCCCGAAACTCCTGGGCTGGGGTTCCCCTGTCTGCTGCCACTCCTGGGGAGACACCGTGAGCCCCAACATGGGGAGGGTGTGTGTGCAGAAAGGGGGAGTGGGAACCAGGCCCAGCTCCCCAGGCAGTCACCGTGTCGTTCAGCAGGGGAGGGACCCAGCTGCCTACTCCCACCCCATGAACACCTCAGAGAATAAGCCTCTTTTTGCGGGGATCACAGCTCTCGCTGAAGAACAAACGGATAAAGATGGACACTGACCGGCGCCCGGTCCTGCATCGGCTGTGGCCACCAGGACTCTGTGTGACCATCCCACGGGAGATGTGACCCACCTCCCAGGGTCCCCGGCCTGGTGCCCAACTCTTGATCCACACACAGACTTTAACGGGCAGAGACACCTAGGTCCTCCGGCCGGGTCACGACAGACTCGCAGTGGAGAGTCGAAAGACCTTCCAGGCCCTGGGCCAGTCCCATTCCCAAGCTGCTCCTCGGCCAAGTCCTCTGGCAGGGCCCGGGGAGACAGAAACCACGAGACACAAGCTGCTGGTGGCACGGGTGCTCCCATCTCACTTCCTTGGCCCACACACGTGGCCTGAGCTCACGGCGGCAAACTCCCCCTCCGCAGCTCTTTGCTCAGTGCAGGTGGCAGCTATGTCTGACCTCCGTGGCCTGAGCTCAGGCACACAGTGACAACCAAACACCCGCTCATCTGTACAGAACCTTCCCGTGAGACAGGCCATCAGAGGCAAGCACTGGCACCTGCCCTACGCCCTCTGCAGAAGAGAAAGGCCCAGGGAGGGGAGGGAAGCTGTGTAGGGGTACCCAGCTGGAGCGGAGGGGCGTAGGGCTCTGATGAGTCACCTCTGGCCCTCCGGCCCCGGCAGGAGAAAACGCTCCTACACAGAGAGAGTTCAAGTGCCCAGTGACGCACCGCACCACTGCAGGAGACCCCCGTGGCCCAGAGGCAGCAGGCGCAAGCGGAGGGGGGTGGGGCAGAAAGCAGGAGGGAGTTCCCGGTGGTGGGGGCACCTGTACTGGCCAGCCTTCCCTGGTGGCCACCCCCGCCTCCCATCAGCGTGGCCTACTGAGTTTCAAACATTCACATCCCTGGGGCTTCAGAGGCCTCATACTTTTTCCGCACCATCTGTAAAATGGGGACAGGCGTGCAGAGTAGCCGAGAAAGGTGGGGACTTGGTGCCGAAAGCGGCCACTTGCTGCTGTAATTTGCAGCAGACTCTGTGCTGGGGGTTGAGGGAAATAGGCCACACGTCACCCGCTACCTTCATTAAGGTGGGGCCCACCCCTCTTTACAGGTGGTGACACAGGCTCAGAGGAAGGAAGGCCTTGCTTGAGGTCACACACTGTGTGATTTCTTATTCCAGAGCCTTCCCAGGAAAATGACAGCAGCCACAGCCTCCTCCCTGACTTGGTGTCACAACTCTGGGGACACACAATGTCATTTCAGCTTCGTGCAGCCCTGACGTGTACAGGAAGCAGGGGGCTCACATCTCAGGCGGGCCCACAGCCCCACACACCTCAGGGGTGGTCTTCACCCCGTACTTGACGCGGCTCCGCAGTCCATCGGTGCCACAGCCGTCCGAGGGGTAGGATGGTGTGCCGAGTGCTGCGCCCGGCGGGAGCTTGTCACACAGGTTGATGGGCTGATCTTCGGAGGTGGCGGTGAAGTCCATGGGGGCCACGGCGCCGTTGCCATTCATCTCGGGGAAGGCGGGGTCGCCCTGCGTGCTGCTGGACGTGGATGGGTTCAGGGTGGAGGAGCCATTGCCGCTGCCACTCTCAGAGGAGGAGTCATCTGGAACAAGAGGCCTGGGTGTGAGGCTCCACCTCAGCCCCTCCTGCCCCCTAATGCGCCCTGGGGGATCGTGGCCACGGCAGCCACAGGGAATACTTGCCCCGTCTTGTCCTCACAGGCGTCTCCAGGCAAGAGGTGAGCCCTGCTGTCGAAGAGGCTAGCTGTGCCCCTGCCCGATGGAGGGGCAGGGCCCCTCTGCCTGAAGCAGGCCATCAGGAGTGGAGCGCCCGTAGTGATCTCCTGCACTCCACACCCGTGACACCACATCCAGGCTCAAGGGAGGCCCAGCCTCAAGGGCCTGGGACTGAGTGGCTGCAGCCTCAGGTCTGACCAGCCTGCTGCACGCCAGAGATGCTTGGACACCCAGAGCTGGCTTGGGGCCTGACCGGCATCCCCCTCTTCCTCTAACTCGCCACTGCCCTGCCCCTGCACACCCTCTCCCCACAGTGGGCTCTCAGCTTCCTTCATCTGCCCAAGGAAAAAGGGATAATGCCTCCATTGTGACCGGGGGGGGGGGCGGGCCCCAGTTACCCACTCTTCCTACATGTGGGCCCTGCCTAGTCCTGGCAGCTTACACACAGACAGTGCCCCCCGCTCCCCCCCAGAGCTGCCTTCTGTGCAAGGTCAGGTGGCCTTGGACATCCTGAGCCAGGGCTGCAGGCTCAGGGGGCTGCATTCCTGGGATCTCAATAGGCTCTCTCTGCTTTCCAGAGGTGACAACCCAACAAAGCTCTGCCGAGGGCGCCCCCTGCTGCGGAGAGCACAATATTGCCTGGGGGACCTGGAAGGACAAACTTCCAACTGAGCGGCTAGACATTTTCAGATAAAATTCCAGGCCCCTCTCCCCAATCCAGGCCCAGCCTCCTGCTTGATCAACTGAGACGGCGGAGGCCAAAGCAGGTTGAGCTCCCGGGGTCACGGCCAGGTGAGTACCGAGCTGTTCCCGGTGGCGCCCAGGTGCCCCCGGGGCTCGGCACCAGGACCCAGAGCTGGTGGGGGAGGGGGGAACCACAGTGAGCCTAGACCGCATCCCAGGCCACCCCTTTCCCCAGGCCAGGGTCGCGCAAGACCCCACCCCCACCCTCCCAGCCAGCAGATTATGAAGATTTAGTCCCCGGGGCTGGGCATTGGGCACGCGCACCGCCAGAGCGTCCCCATGGCGACCGAGAGGCTCTAGCGCCCCAACCAATCGCTGGCCTCCCGGCTGCCCGGGGGCGGGGCCGGGCTGCCCATCAAGCAGCCGAGCCCGGGGCAGAGGGGGATGGGATAAGGCCGTGGTGAAGTGGCACCCCTCCCCCCCTGGCTGCCGCAGGTCCCCTGGGCCAGGCTGCCCCTCCTTCTCCTCTTCCTCCGGGCAGCTCACTGCTCCCTTCATCCTCCTGCAGGTCAGCTCCAGGCTCTGCTCAAAGCCGCCCCACAGCTCCCTGCTTGCTGAACGACACCCCAGAGTCCCTGGACCTTCGTCCTTGCAACCTCCAGGACCTCACCACGCGTCCGCTGCCCCCCTCCTCCTCCATCACAGATGAGCCTGGTTTTCCTCCAGAAGGATCTCCAGCGACCAGCGCAGATGTTGGCGGAATGAACAAATTGCCCGGCAGTATTTACTGAGCACCTACTGCATGCCCGCACACTCCCAGGCCGAGAAACAAAGTAACAATGACAACCAAGGTGCCAGCCCTCCTGGAGGGACAGATGCTCATTACCAAACCACAGGAAAGTGGCTGCCCTCCCTCCCTTCATCACACCCACCTCCACCCCACCCCTTTCCAGCACCAGCCTATTCTTGTTCCATAACCTTCCTGCTCTCCAAAGACCCCTGAAGACTATCCTCCAGACTCCCGCTGGGTGTGTTCTTAGTCCCCTGACTTCTGGAGTCCAGACCCCACCCTCCTGGCCACCTCGGGACCTCACATCTCCAGGCCTTTGCTTGGGCTCAGGCTCTGCTGTCTGCCTGCCATGTTGCTTCTAACTCAGAAAATTTCAGTCTACCTTCGAGGCCTGGCTCAATGCTTCCTCCTCAGGGCAGGCCTCCTCTTCCACTGTCCCTGGGAAGGAGTTACAGCCCAATGTCTGTCCTTCCTGGGGATACTTTGTGCCTCCTTTGCCTGGCCCAGGGTGAATTCTGACGGCTGCCTAGAAGCCCCCACATATGCAGGAGCCTCTTCTGGAGCTGAGGAGCTGGAAGGCAGGGATGGGCCCCTATACTGACTGATCACGTGAACCCCTGTTTGCTCTGGCAGGTGCCCATTCTTAGCCCACCTTATAGGTGAGACTTCACACCCTGGCATCATTCCTAATAGGCCAGCTGCTTGACCTTGGAGGGCTTTGGCTTCCTCTTCTGGAAGGAGGGGTTGCTAGGAAGGCACCATGCTCTGCACACAGTGAGCCAACCGTCCCAATGCAGGGGTGTCAGGCCCACGGCCTCCTGCGGTGCCACACCCCTGGCACAGGCCCACGGGTGGCACCCCAACCACCTGCCTCTCTGACTAGGTTTCGTCGTGGGAGGACGGACCTGCCTTGCCCTACACCTATGGTGGAAGGGGGAAAGGAGATGCATGCCTACTCCCAGCCTCCCACAGCTCAGGAGCCCAGGGTGGCCCCAGGGCTGTGCGTCCTTGCTGCTCGGCCAGACAGCCACAGGCACTGGCTCCGACCGCGACACAGCACCCTCTTCCCAGTACTCCGAGGCTGCTCTCTTCCAGTAAGGGAAGTGGCTGCGCAGGTGGGACCAGGAGGTGCCAGGAGTCCAGACCAGGCATCCTGAGTTTTTAGAAGAAACCGGAAATCTGCACCATTATGTAAATATCCAGAATTTAAAATGTTAATGACTGACTTACATTGTTTCCATTTTGAAAGACCTTGCCAAACCAAATGTGGTCTATCCATGCAATGGAATATTGTTCAGCCCTAAAGAGGAATGAAATACTGTCACACGCTACAACATGGATGAACTCCGAGAGCATTATGCTGAGTGAAAGAAGCCAGACACAACGGGACAAATACTGAATGAGTCCCCTTCCACCCAGTGTGTGGATTAGACACATGCATAGAGACAGAAAACGTATCAGGGCCTGGAGGAGGCGGGATAGGATGCTGCTGCTTAATGGATATAGTTTGGGGTGAGGAAAACTATATTTTGGAAATAACGGTGCTGGTTGCACACCACTGTCAATGTCCTTAATGCCGCTGAATTGTACGCTTAAAAATGGTTAAAACGTAACATAAGATATTTATGTTATACATATTTCACCACAAAAGTCCCCCCAAAACCAAAAGAACCCCAAAACCTTGAGCAGGCCAGCGGGCCCCAGTTCACAAGCTCTGTTCCCACCTCCTCCCGCCACAGGCCAAGGCCCTCCCACCTCCGCACCTCGCCCGGGGGCAGGGAAAGCCAGCCACACACACAGCCCACCTCGAGCGTGTGCTCCCCCGTCATCCTGCCGGGGCCACCCTCAACCCGCGTGCCGACCACCCGCAGCGCCACCCGCTCACGGACTGCCTCCCACTTGGGTCCGTTTTTTGCCAACTGGAGAGGTCGTGGGTTTTAGGCAGAATGCAGAGGGGCCGTGTCACCTTGAAGATGCCACTTTACCTCCTTGAGCCTCGGTTTCCTTTCCAAATGCGTCTCCTGTCAGTAAACCAGGATGCATGAGGTGTAGACAATACTGGCATAGAGAGTAGGCGCTAAAAAAGAAAAAGCTGGTTCTCTATGCCCCGCTGTCTTCCTTCATAACGCACCTGCTTCCTACACACAGGGGCTCCGGAGGGCCCCGCCAGAGCCCGGGTGCGAAATCTGAGGTGGGCCAGGGAGGAGGAGGGGGAGGCCAGTGCCCGCAGGATGCTCTTCCCACCCTTGTCCCTTCCCTGCCTGAACACTTCCTGGTGTCAGGCCCATGAGGGGCACTGGGGACTCAGCAGTGAAAAGAGAGGGTGGTCGCTGTCCTGGCGACTCATACTCCAGTGAGCAAAAAACCAGACACAGGGCTCCAGAAGAGACTGGGCCCCAAAAAGACAGTCATGAGCTTTCTGGCCCTTGAGCCCCGACGGCAGAGCCCTATCTCCAGAACTCCTCCCAAGGAGGGAGGGACACCAGGAGGGAGGGAAGGAGGGAAGGCTTTTTGTAAGAAGCAGCCCATGGAAGAAGCCTCACGGGAGGAGGCTGAGAAGGCCCTGGGACTAGGGAGAAGGCCCCTGACCCTGGTGGGGGCAAAGGTGCTGCTGGGGAGGGTGGTAAGTGTATCTATCCGTCAGCACCACCCCCCCCCCCCCCCCCGCCCTGCTCCGGCAGCTGCATGAACGGAGTTCAACCCACTAAGTGGAAGCCAGACTCCCTCCAGAGGGGGCCCCTTGCTGCCACCCACTGCAGCTGCGCCAGCTGCCTACCTTTTCACTTGCTGTTCCCTCTTCCGACACTCTGTCCCCAGCTGCCTCTCCCCCTCAGGGATTTGCTTCAAGGTCACCTTCTCAGTAAGACCTCCCTGCCCCCGCTCTGACAGGCTGACCCCTTTACCTACTTTTCCCAGACCATTTTAATCACCTTCTGACATACTACGTCTGTGGCCTGTGCCCAGCACCCCTTCCCCACGTAAGCTGCCCCAGCCCAGCAGACCCAGGGTCAGCAGGGCTGTGCTGGGTGGGCCCAGATCACTCCCGCCTCTCCAGAGCCCATACCCCTTCCTCTGGGGGAGGGCACCCCGAGTCTTCCAGGGGGAAGTACGTGCCCCACGCCTGGCCAGTCGGCACAGCCCATCCCGGCGGTCAGTGGGCATGTGACCAAGCTGGACCCGTGAAAGTCAATCCTGGGGCTCTGGCTGAAATGTTTGGAAAGAAGTGCTCCCCCAAGCCCCCAGGGCTGCTGAGCCCGTTTGGCAGGGCTGAATAGCTGTCAGGAATAAATCCCCCTTATATCCATCCCTGCCTAAAGCCAAAGAAGAACCTAGACTTTTCGGTTACAGGAGCCAACAGTTTCCTTACTGGGGAAGGGAGCCGGAGTCTCTGAGTGATCCACAGTCCTCCCTCTGGGAGGAGCCCAGGGACTGGAGCCCAAGCCAGGCTGTCTCCTCACTGTGGCCCACCACAGCCCCACTGGGTCGGTCCCCCTAGCTCAGTCCTGAGGTGGCTGGTACCCGCAGGAAGGGCTGGCGGCAGCCCCTGCCCCCGCAGCACCTGGCACCTTTTGGGGAAAGAAGGAACAGAGAGAAGCGTCAGCACCCCAGGCTGAGGCAAGCTGGGTTCCGGTCCGGTCCCAATTCTTCCCTCCTCCCCACTCCCTCCAAAACAGTGTGATTCAAAGGAGATATAGGCACGTATTCAAACGCGTGCCCGAATGAGGCCGGCGGGGTCAGGGCAGGGGGAGCAGGTGCGGGCCTCGCTGTCTCCCGACCTTGGGCACAGCCCGCCTCCTTGGCTCCTCTTATCTGCAGTCCAGGGAGTTGCCGCTGACGCCCTGTTGGGCTCTGACACTTTATGACCCTGCGAAAGAACCCAGCTGGCCCCACGGGCAGCAGGGGCCCTGACACACACGGGGTGTGGGAGTCGGGCCCTCCAGGGCGCAGGCCTCCGGCCACGGGTCTCCCCGGGCGGACATGTGTTCTGGTCCAACCCATCCCAGACCTGGCCGGAAGTGACCCTCTTGTGTCTACCCGGTCCTCATCCGTGCTGCTGTGGCAGGACGGGCATCCCACCCAAGGCCAGGCCGCTGGAGCCTAGAACAACGCCAGTGGGGTGAGACTGCCCCCAGCCTGTGACTGTGTGTGAACAACAGACAGAAGGGCGCCCTGAGTGGCCGCAGGGGAGCCGCTGGGGGGTGCACCCCTTCTGAACGTTTCCACAAAGCCAGGCCTCCCCGGCTCTGGCAAAGGACACCTCCCGATTCGGGCAGGACGCGGAGCCCACCACCTGTGCCCGGAACGCCTCGGGCAGGGAAGGGCCGAGGTGCCCATCTATTTAACGTGGGGCGATGTGCTGCTATTCCAATGGGGGAATTAGCGATGAATGGGGGAAATTGTTCCTCCCTCTGTCCCGTCTCCAGAAGGAGACAAAAACCCCTTTTACCTCGGCAAACAATGCCCTTATGTGGGCGCCAGCGCCCCGCAGCCCGCACAAGCCCGGCTCTGTGCGAGCCGCCAATCGCCACACCGGGCTCTGGGGCCGCAGCCAGCGGCACCCTCTCCCAGTGGGTGACCCGCACCAGCTCCCAGGGCGGGCTGGGAAAAGGTGGGAAGGTACCCCACCACTGAGACCACAGGCCGGGCCTGTGGCCACGCCACCCGGCATGCCCAGCGCGGGCTGCCTTCTGCGGCCAGAGGGGCGGCGGCTGAGGCAGCGCCCCCTCCTCCGTGGGCTTCTGTCACAGCGGCGGCCAGGATGGGGAGAGGAGGGGGCATCAATAATTCACACACAAAAGAGCTGGGCTGGGGGGAGGAGGGGGGTGGAGGGCTGGAGCCGGCAGCCCCACCATGGGCTGGGAGGAGTAGACACCAGGGCAGGCGCAGGGAGTCTGCAGAGCCGGCCCTTCCTCCTCCTCCGCCCACGCTCTGAATTTGGGTGTGCACCTCACCAGGGCCGGTCCCCGCCTGCTCTGACAAAGGCCAGTGGCCTGGGCCATGTTTACATGATGCATAGTTCCCAGGAGCACCAGGCTCCTGGCAGGCTACCCTGCTCTTCCTCCCGGAAGGAAGGGGGAGGGCCTTGGGGTCAGACGGGGGACACAGAGGAGTTGGACCAGGCGGTCTTGCTGGGATCCCACCATCCTGGGTGACAGGGCCACACGGGGTGCCCGCCCCGCGGTCTGGCCGTCAGGCCCCCGGCTGCCTACCGAACCATCCCTTCGAAGCATCCCATTCCACCCTTGTGGTTCCAGGGGCAGGCCGGCCCCTGCTCCCCACCATGCTCCCCACCAGCCTCCGCTCTTGCCTCCTAACGCCACGAACCCAGGGACGCCGGCACCTCTACTCCACGGCATCGCCTTCCTGCCCGGCCTTTTGCAGGTC